CAAGGAAGCCTGTAGCAACACAGGGCCACAAGTTGTGTGGTGCAGCCACTGTTAACCCTTTGTGTGCTGGCTGGGAATACCGCTGCTGGGGGCAGGCCAGGGGCCCTACGGCCTTCCACAAGGTGGCCGGGCGCCAGCAGGGAGAGAAGGGAGGACGCACGAAGCCGGCTGTGACAGGAGAGGGCCCTGCCCTGGGGAGAGGAAGGAACCGGGCGCCTGGCCCGGTGGGGCTCCGGAGCAGAGCCTAACGAATCCCGGAGCGGGTGATCATCACATGGCGACGTGGCAATGAGGATTCCCCGTCCTGTAACCAGCGCCGTCACACTGCGCACTCCCCGGGGAAGGGATCTCCGCCACAGTTACACTAATGACTCTTGGCGCTGTGGTGCGTCAGCAAAGAATAAATAGCCGGGACCGGGCGTAATAAGTTCACTGCACTTGGTAAACACCATTCCCCATAGCACCTCCCCTCCGCTGGTCAGTTTTCTTGTCCCCATTTTACAGAAGGAGGAACTGAGGCACAGGGTGCAGGAGTGGCTCCCCACAGGTCACAGAACAACGAGGTGGCGTCAGCTGCGGCGGGATCTCTGCTCTCCCCTGCTGGATGGCCTGCGGGTGGCCACCGACTGTGCTTAGAGCTCAGAAGGGTCACAGCCTGCCCCAGCCCACGCAACCTCTGACCTACTAGGGGAAGAGCCGTGTGAACGCTGCACTACAGGACAGTGTGGGCTAGTGGTTAGAGCACGGGGGCCTGCACGTCAGAAGAGCAGGGGCCGTTCCTGCCTCTGCCACTGACTCGCTGTGGGGAAAGTCCTCTCGCCGCTCGGGCTGCTGGTGTACGTGCCTCCGCAAAGCGGGGTGACCTAGTTCCCAGGTTTGTGAGACGTGGGCGACCTGTTTCCCTGGCCCTCTGAGGTCTGATTTTGAGCCACGGACGGGGAGGATGCTGTTCCGCAGCTCTGGCAGGCAGATTCGAGGCTCTGCCTGGGATGGCTGCGGCGTTGCAGTCCTTCAAATGACTCGGAGGCGCACTGCACTTAGCAATTAGCCATGCCCGGGCAGACCAGCAGTAACCCAGCCGCTCTGATCCTTCAGCTGCATTCCCCACCCCTCCCTTGCACCAGGCGCCAGGGCTGGCCCGGATCCTCACTGTTTCCAAGGCCGAGACACCGGCCTGATCTCCTTGTTTAGGGCCAAGCCAGAAGCGGGAGGCCTCAGCTGGCGGGGGGTGGGAGAGAGGGCGGCTGTTGGGGTGGGAGGCAGAGGGACTCGATTTCATTTGGTTCCGGATTGTGGATCAGCTGGATCCGGGGATTGGTTTGGCCTGTGCATCCGGCTGCAGGGGCCAACTCCAATCCACCCTTGGGCAGGCCAGACTGAGCCAGGCCTGTGTGATCAGTGTCGGGAGACGGGCACTGCCCGCCCTGGGTAGACAGAAGGGGAGGTGTGTCTGCATCTCTAGCTCCCAGGGGGGAAAGCTGAGGTAAGATCAGCTGAGCTGTTGGGGGTGATCTGACCTGAATCCTCCCCACACACACATGAATTGCTCCACGGGACAGTGTCTATACCACACACAGGCCCTTAGCTCATGGCTGCATTCGTGCCCTTCTGGGCTCTGGTACATTCAGGGTAGGGCAGAGAGAGGTGGGACTAGAAGCCAGGAGCCCTGTGGTCCAGATGCCCCCACCTGGCCTGGCTCTCCTTGTCCTGGGGAAGGTGATTTATTGTTCTTCTCACGGGCCATGAGCTGTTACTTGTCTTGTCATTTTCTTGGTGGCGCCCTGGGAGGAGGCGTTTTCAGGCCAGGAAATGGGAAATGCCCAGCA